ACGAAAATTTCCGTCGGAATCCACTTTAGCTCCGACGGAAAAGTCGGAACTTTGCGACGGAATTTCGGTTAAAGTCAAAACCAGCTTCGACAGAATGTATTCCGTCGGAAAAGTGGCTTCCGACGGAATTTCCCTCGGAAAACGTCGAATTTCCGACAAGGGCTGCTCCGAGAGACAGTTTCCAACGGAATTCCGTCGGAAGGCCGTTTTCCGACGGATTTTACCCTGTTTCCAACGGAAAAATTCCGTCGGAATTCAGCTGTTTTCTTGTAGTGACGTAAAGTGAAAGAGGTTATGCACCAAAACTCTTAGAACGTATAGTATGAGCATATGGAGGGAGTTATGTGACTTTATATTTGATCATAAATTCTACTGGGAATACAGGACGCTATATTTTTCTTTTTATTATGCGTAAGAATTCTATCTACTACGAGTGGTTCTTTTATACTGGCACGGTTAGATCCCGTGTCAGCACCCCTATATTAGGGAAAGTTTAGGGGGAAACCCGTTCGATGCGTAATCAAACCAAATAAATAATTAAATTGTCTTATGATTAGTGTTATTGGTTGAATGTTAAACTCAGGGCTAACGGTAAGTTGATTGATGCTAGGTTGTATGCATGTTAGTGTGTTTCGTTTACGCTTATGTACTCAGCATTGCTGATTATTGTGTTTGTGCATTTGTTTGGCCTTGTCTTTATCTTGGCACTACGACGACTCATTTCTTATGGTAAGTAGTAGGGACAACTTAAAGAGAAACTTTTCAGGTGATTAAGCATATTCATATTGGGGTTTGGGTGAAGAGCAAATCATGTTCTAGTTTTATTTCGAATATGTGATTATTATTGTTTATTGGTTTATTATTAGTCATTGATGATATTAACATGTTGGTATTAAATACCTTTGGTTTTGAGAAGGGCCTACGATGATTCCAATCAAGTTGTAGATTTGACTTCGTTTGACTTTGATGTGACTTTACTTTTGTTTGATTGGACTTTGACTTTGTTTTGAAAGGTTTTGAAAAGAGTCTTCCGTTGTGTGTCTTTGATAAATGCCTTAGCCGTTATCACGGTGGCGGTAATGCCTTAAAATTTCCTATCTCGTGTTTTAAAAGGGTAAAACAGGTATTTTATAGGAAAGAAATTTCTAGGGTGTTACATATAGGGTGGGCATTAAGAGAGAGAGAGAAAAAAAAAACATGTTTAAAAAATCAAAAAGCACTAATTTAAGAGAGAGAAACCTTGTGACTAGGCTATGACCAAGACCTTTGGCTAAGAGTGGGCATTGTATTTCTATGTGTCACTTGTCATATAATTAGTGGTTTGTCAATGAGTTTTTTTTTTTTTTGTTTTTTTTTGTTCTTTTTTCTAAATTTTATTTATTTATTTATTCATATGCAAATCTATGCCCTTAAAATTGAAGGGCAACCAATGATTGAGATTGTATGAGCATAAGTGGACATGGGAATTAGGCATAAATGAGGTGAAAGAGAGATATTAATTTAAATACTGATTGATCATCATTGCTTTGCTCTAATAATTTCAAGTAGATCTATAGCAACAAAATTCTCTGTTGCCTAAATTTTAACATTATTATGTAGGACAATTTTCAAATGGCTATTGAATTAGATCAAATCATAATATTTCATTTCTATTGACTAATGTGAACCGTTGACGAAGTGACTTTTTACTTTTATTTTTAAAACATATTGACCAAACAAAAAAAAAAAAAAAAAAAAATCTCGTTTTACAATAATTTTCACAAAAGAGAGAGAGAGTTATAGTTTCTTTTTTATATAAACAAAATTACTTAATTTTATACCAGTACTTAATAAAGATACCAAAGTTAGTACCATGCAATACTCTCTTAATTACAACCTTTAGTTAATTAAGATATGAAATAAAGAATATAATAAAATTTAAGTTATTTTTTATAAAATGTATAAAAAAATATGAAATAAAGAATAGGTAATATATATGTTAACTACTAAACATGGAAAAAAAAATTATCTTGGTAGAAGATTGTTTAATAAGATTTACCAAAAAGATAGGTTGAAAATTCTAGTGTAGTCTTATGACTTTTGACTATCACAATTTTTTTTTAAATAGACGGCTGAGATTGTTTGTTTTTTGATTTATTTTTAATTAGTAATATTAATTACAAACCACTTTTTAATTATTTTATATATATTATTTTATTTCTAGAATTTCGAAAATATTAAAAAATAATTTCTTAAAGATAAAAATATATTTAAAATAATCAAAAAAATATTTTTAATTAAAATTACTAATTAAAAATAAATTAAAAAACAAATAATCTTAGTCGTCCATTTAAATATGGTAGTCAAAAGTCATAAGACTACATTAGAATCATCTGACATGTGTCATCCCTAGCCTAGTCTCTCTTTTAGTATATAGCTATTGATTATTAATTGGCATATTTACCAAAAAGAGACTGCCCAACACAGAGATTGCCATCATCAATTCATCATCATCATAAAAGAATAATTGCTTCCATCTACCTACATGCTCGTAAATATGCAGCTCTATGGGTAGTATAAACAGGTTTCAGTCTAACACGGATGAAAAAAAGTAAACCCTCTACATATACATTGCAGTGAAGACATAGGTCTTAAGTTATATTAAGGGGTCAAGGATCCTGAAGAAACCATATGTTCTCAACAATGCTACAACAGCCACTTTGCATTTCGACATCTGAAGTCCTGAAGATCAGACTAAAGCCACCTAAGTTTAACATTTAAAACAGCCTTAAGCCTTTCATAAAAGGCACTTTGACAATATTATGGTTCGATCGAGAAAGAATATTAATTCAAATATCATCATGGCTAGCCAATTAAAGACAAATATTTAAAAAAATCGGATGTACAATAAAATATTATATATCCGCTTCAAAGTTACCTTTAAATGAGCAAAAGTTACCCTATAATGAATGAAAGTTACCCTAATATAATAAAAGTTATTTAAGCTTTAGGATTAAAGTTACACTAAATTCAACAAAAGTCACCTCGATGTACAATAATATTATTAGGGGTGAGCATATCAGGGTACTCTGTAAAAATTCTTAGAATCAGAACCGGAATCGGAACCTGTTGAACAGGTTCCTGGAAATTGGGAACCGGAACCAAAACCTACAGGTTCCGATTCCGATTCAGGGTACCCTGTCTTGTAATATACTTACTAACTTTTTGCAGATTTTCTTAATAAAAAAAATTGGTTGTCAATAATTTATAATGTTTACAACTCGCAAAATAAACAAACTAATAGTAGTTGTCTAACAAATTTAATACGTATAATTATAATTGTGATTTTGATATTTATTATTTAAAAATAAGTTAGAATTGGTGTATAATTTAAAATTAAATGATACTTTTAATAGGTTACAGGGTACCCTATAGGTTCTGGTTCCAAAAAATTGAGAACCTGACCCGGAACCTGTTGCAACAGGTTCTCTATTTTACTACCCGGAACCGGAACCTCTTGTACAGGTTCTAGTTCCGAAACCTGCGGTTCCTAACAGGTTCTGGTTCCGATTCAAGGCATCCGGATTTTTTGCTCACCCCTAAATATTATTATATATCGGATGTATACAAAAGTTTTTCCAATTAAATCAGTTGTAACATATTTGTGCACAAATTATGAATTTTGCCGACGTACAAATTTACGCAGGGCTCCCCTTCCTAACTATATACATCAACCATCAAAATTAAAAAAAAAAATAAAAAAAAATAAAAAAAATGGAAATTTTCTAACATCGAAACACAATGAAACACCCAATTGAAGTAAAAAAAGTGAAATTAAAGAGAATGGAAATGAATGACATTGAGCAGGAAAAGAAAAAACCTAATTTGTAAAAATTGAATGAAAGTGGGTTAGAACGTGAGAGATTTTTAATTTTTTCAGATTAGTCAATAAAAATGAACGATTGTGATTTGATCTAATACAATGATCACAATTTTATTATGTCCACTTAAAAGTCATTTCTTACATATTTGTATATTATTACTCCAATTCTTATAAACCACCGTCGTAGCATTAACAAGAGGTAATAAAAACTAGGAAATTAAACATCAGTTTTCCCACCTAAGCCTAACTCTGGTGACAGAAACCGCCAGTGGGGCCCGCCATAACAGCTAGTTTTTGAAATTATCCCCAAATTCTCTCGATTTTCCTCCTATTTAAACAACCTTCTTCATTTCCACATCAAATTGTTGAAGATTGAAGTTTTTTTTTTTGCGATTTTCTTCACAAATCCTTAATTTGGGTAGTAAATGAGCCAAAGTTCATCTTATAATTTGCTTAAAGCTTGGTTTTTGGTCTAATTTGTATCCTTAATGGCTTAAGGATTGAAAAAAAAACGTGTTTGATCTTATAAATACGGAATCCGTGGATGAGCAACAACAATTACTCATACCTGAGCTGCTTCAAATTCTGTTTCTTGAACCTGATTGTTATATGACAGAGGTTTCAGAAAACAAACGGCGACGAAGAATAGATTCGACTTCAGGAAAAAAAATTGTTCTCGTAATTCGGAGTTAGTGTGACCATTTCTACTGCCAAATTTTCATTGAAGTTAATTGTATTTGAACACAATTACCATAATCTAACCCTAATTTTACTGCCCAATTGAAATATCAAAAACCCCCAAATTAATTTACACTTACATGAACCCTAATTATTTACAATATGAAATTGGGGTTGAATTAATAACATAAAACATGCAATTTCAATTATACTTAGCAATTGTAACATAATCACGCAAACAATTGCAAAAAATTACAACAGAATTCATGAAAATTGCTTACCTTTTCGCTGTTTGTCGTCGAACAGTTCAATTGATTCAGGGCCGAGTACAATCTTCAATAATTTGATAATTTGAGGATGTGGGATTGTTAAGGATCACCCAAAATCAGAATTTGTGAAGAAAATGGCAAAAAAAAACTTCAATCTTCACAAAATAGATGTAGAAATGAAGAAGTTAGGTTTAAATCAAAGGAAAATCGGGAGAATTTGGGAATAATTTCAAAAACTAGCTGTTATGGTGGGCCCCACTGGCGGTTTCCGTCACCGGAGTTAGGCTTAGGTGGGAAAACTGATGTTTAATTTTTTTATGAGGCGGTAAAGTAAATCTTTTTTTTTTGGAGGTGGTAAATTCAATAAAGTCGTTATTTGAAGGTGGTAAAAATCAAAATTTCCTAAAAACTATTGTAGTAAAAAGACGTTTTTCTCTATTGTGATTACTAAAATTCATTTCAACAATCAAAATTTTCTCGTCATTATAAACCCATTACTCAACATCTTGTATACGTTATAGTGATTTAGAGCGTCACGATCATAAAAGATTTCGAGAACCATGACAATCTTATCTAATCTACGCTTTGATATATAAGTGATTGTTTGATTCTATCATATCATTCACGTAAATACCACTACATTTTAAATTGTAGTTAACTAATAACAAAGATTAAGTAATATTTAGGATACTATTATCCACAAAAACAAGCATTATCCATTCTCTACACACTAAACCATAAACACATTGACCCAAGTTTAGGGAACATCCTCTACAAAGATATCTTATGCTCATCACACCCCAATAAAACTACCAATTGGAAACCGAAATAACACATTTCGAGGGTAAAAAAAGCTTGTCATCATCATCCTAAGGAAAGTAAAAGACACAGTAAAAAACTTTCACTCTAAGCCTTTACCAGACGTTGATATTGCCAAGTCAGACCAACCAAAGTAATCAGAACCGTCCATGCCATCTCCATTACCAAACTGCCACGTGTTACTTCCGTCATTCTGACCCATACTCTGAGTCTCATTATTCATACTCATGGATGCTCCAAACCCGAACCCGATATCAGCAAATCCAGCTGACCCGATATCAAGCCCGAGCCCGTACCCGGGCAATCCCATAAACATTCCACCATCTCCATTACTAGCATTATTATTAGTAGTGGTGGTAGTGAGTAAAGAAGTGAAACTCCCTTCATCATTCAAGTCCAATTCCAAGTCATCACTGTTCCGTAACTGCGAAATCATTTCCGCCGTTTTGACACCCGCGGGTGCAGAAGAGAGTGGAAACGAGGTTGCGGAGGTAGCGGAGGAGGAAGACGAGGAGGAGCGAGAACGCTTGGACTTCTTACGAGTGCCGCCGCCAACAGGGACATTGCGGAGAGTACCTCCGCGAGTCCAAAAGCGGCGGCAAGACTTACAAAAGTAGCGAGGTTGAGATAAGTTGTAGTTATTGTAATAACAGAATTTTGTGTTGGTTGAGTCGCAACGTGGGCATGGTAGATTTTCTGGCTCGTGGCGCGGTTCGGCACAGCCTTCCACCTCCGCGTTCATTGTTTGTAGATGTGATTTTGGGGTAAGAGAGGGTGAGAGAGAGGGGAGGGGGGGGGGGGGGTGTGAGGGAATGAGTGAGTTGCTTAGGGAGGAGGGTTTTGTTATGGGGTTTGGGGGACAAAGTGTGGAGAAGGGAATGATACGGTTTTTGGAATGTGAGTGTGAATGGGAGTGGATGTTTTTGTTTATTATTGTACTCTATTGGATTAACAGCATCCAATCAAAATTGCACTTTTTAAATAATGCTGGTTTGTTAGTGTGTTCGATTGGTAGTGTTGCGGTTAAATATCATCATGATTCATGCATCCTAGATTCCTATCTCCTAGTATGGTTTTATTATAACCATGTAATAATCTTGTTTTAGGTGATGGAAATTTAAACATTAGCATTTGTTGCTTTCTCTAAAATTAATTAATCAATAACATAATACTAAAACATATATCAGGAATTACACGTATCACTTTCTTGTGTTGTTTTTTCCCTCCAAAACCCCTCTCTCCCCTTTTTAGTAAAAATCTTTTATTTTTGGAATATTTGGATAATACAACTATAATAATATATTATTCCTATTCTATCTTTATAATAATTGTATTCCTTTTTATTTTGTATTCTATTTACTTAAAATAGTTACACAAGATTTTAAGACCTTTTAATTAAAGGAGAATAGGCTATAATTTAGAAGGTTGAAATATGGAGAGTATAAAATAACGGGGCCAAAAATACAATATTAACATTTAAATTACCATTATATATTTGTACAATAGTGGGGCTCAATGAAAAAAAAAAAATAAAACATTTCTATTCATGGTCTTAATTTGAAATCTTATAAAATAATTATAATTGAGTGAGTATTCGTTAAATATTTCTGTACTAATTTTACCAGCTTATAACATTAGTTTCCCTTAAATAAATCTATTAACTATTATTAAAACAGGTCATGCTTACATCGATCATTTTGGACATATGTTAAGATATTAGTAAAAAATTTCCTGCCAATAAAATATATTATTTCAGCCTTAAGTTTTCTTTTTTTTTGTAAAAAAAATTTTATTTTACTTAGCTTATTTTTTGGAAGTACATTGTATAGTTTTTTTTTTTTGACTAAATTAATTCATTTATAAAAAGCCATACAACTTTTACATAGTATAGTTTTATTGGGAACAACATGCATCATTAATATAATATAAAGTACACTATTTAAAAATATTTTCAACACAACTAATCAAAAATATATATATATATATATATATATATATATATATATATATATTTTTTTTCTCAATTGTAGTTTTAAAATTTTTGCCCTATTATTTCATCTTTCTTATATTCATTGCATTTATTTATTCCACATAAATTGCCTTATTTTTATATTATATCACAAATTAATTATGGGAAAAAAGATTATTACTACCGTACATCGCACGGACACTAATCTAGTTATAAATAAAAAGATTATTGATAACTTGAATATTGTAATTTCGTAAATAAAATAATGCACTTGCAATCCTAGATTTAAATTGCTCATTGTGTATTTATAAGAACTTAAATTACGATGTACTAGATGAAAATATCACGAAGTAATTTATTAATAAAAAAAAATCATATATATTGGCATAATATTTTGTGTACTTGATTAGCTTGGTGATAATGTTCCACAATCTAAAATATATATAAATAAAGTAGGCATTTTTGGAGAACATTCAGAGTGTCACGTAAGAAATATACTTATTTGGACCAATAAGAAGAAAGATTTGTATTTTATTTTTGAAATAAAAAACTATGTTGCCACATGGATAAAAGTAACGAATTAGATTTGATATATCTAAAATTTTAATTGAAAGGAATGGTGTCCTTCCAACAAGTGTATTCTTCCGATAGAGGGTTCAGAATTATTACAGAGCTAATTCTTCAGTAAGGTTAAGTGATTGAAATGCCCAGGTGGAGGCCGCTTCCGATCAGTAATATCGAGGTACAATTGATATTACAGCTTAATCTTAACTGAACCCTTCGGGTCGAACCCAATCGAATCACCGATCCGAGACGACGAATTAATTCGAAAGGATTTAATGAGTCAACAGAGTTTTACGAATACAAACGTCGGAAATCGAGCCTAGGGCGTCGAGACCGAGCGTCGCAAAATCACAAGCAACAAGTATGAGCGTAGTCGTAGCTAGGCTAGGCTAGCTCATCGCATGCATAGGCGCACCATGTGTGTGCTAGGCGCACCATGGTATGCTAGGAACTATCGCACCCTAGGCGTGCCATGGCAGCCCATCGCAAGCTAGCAGCATGCTAGCATGGGTGCTTGGGTGCGCATGGCAGCTATCGCAAGCTCCACAAGCACCAGGCAACCCATCGCAGCTAGCAGCGTGCTAGCTTGGGTGCCCTGGGTGCATGTGGCAGGCCATCGTAGCACGCAAGATCAAGGCCAGGCACCATCGCAATGCCAAGGGCTTGCGTGTGTGCCTCGCAGCCTAGCCTCGCATCCTCGCACAGTAGCCTCGCACAGCAACAGCAATGATGCGTGTGGGCTGGTGCGTGTGTGCGTGCCTCGCACCAAGCATAGCAGTGCTAGGCACTGGCTGATGCGTGTGCGAGAGGGATGCATGGTGCGCAGCGTGGATGGTGCGAAGGAAGGGGCCAGCATGCGTGGCTCGCTAGCAGCACGCATGCTGGCTGTGCTAGCAATGGGATGCGAGGGAGATGCTGCGAGAGAGATGCATGTGTGTGCGATAGGCAGTGCTAGGCAGCCAGCAGCGCCTAGCATAGCCTAGCACCAGGCATGCGAGGCTGCTGGGCAGGCACATGCTAGCTGGCTGGGCTGGCCAGCACCATGCTAGCTGGCGTGCTAGCTGGAAGCAGCCCAACACCCCTCTTAGGTGAGGCGGTTTTGTGAGGGTGGGGACCAAGGCTTTGGGAAAGCCTTGGGGAGCAAGGCAATGGCCCCCCACCCCTCCATGGTCCTCACCTAACCTTCTCTCTCCCTTTGACACTTGTTGCATTGTGATTAGATTTATTTATTAATTTATTTTAGAAATAAATTAATTAGCAAATTATACATTCTCCCACATTGGTTGGGAAATGAAATGAAAGGGTTCATTTCCCTATAAATACCAAGCTTGGGTATTGGGAAATGAACAACCTTGAGTGGAATTAAAAAGGCAACTCTAAGAAAGAGTAAACCTTTGATTCGTAAAACTCATAGTTATTTTGTCCGGGTCTTGACTAACCTTCAAGACTTAGGACGCTCGGGTTAGGTCGAGGGTACGATCCGTCGGAGATCTCGTCTTTTCGGGATTTTGAAGTAAGAGCTCTTTAGGAGCGAAGCACGCGTCAAAGGTATAATTCTTGTTCTTAATCTTGTTTGATTAAGTTTATTATGCTTGTTAATTGCTTTAATTAAGGGGCAGGTCTTGGTGGGTTTCCTTCCGCGTAGTGTCGGGTCACTACGAAACCCTACATTAATGCCATGTAGATTATAATCCATGAATTATATTATTTTAATGAAAAAAAAAGTAAAAATATAGGAAAAGATAAATTTATTAATTCAATACTACGAGTATAAGAAATCCAAAAAAAAAAAAATACTAAAAAATATTTAAATGATAAGCGCTTATAATAAAGTTTGATACTATTATTATAAGATAAATTTTAATAGTATTTATGATAAGAAATACAAATTGTTCGTTAATTATAATTAAATTAAAATTTGTGATACCTACCATTATAAATTGACACATCATACGACACAAACAAAATTTCGTATCAATAAAAAACACCATCAAGCGAATTTTGTGTTAATTTTTGGTCAACAATGGCCGGGTAATTTTTAGCTTAATTTTTAAAATCCTATGTTTAAATTAGTATTTCTAATTATTACTTACATTGTATTAATTTGGGATACTCAACGATTATATGTTTATGTTTTATTTACTAAATGTTTTTTTACATGCAGATCTAACACATCATACGACACAAATGAAATTTCATATCAATACAAACCCCATCAAATTTTGTGTTAGTAATTTTGTGTTAGTTTTAGGTCATCAATGTTCGGGTAATTTTTAGAATCTTATATTTAAATTTATATTTGTAATTATTAATTACATTGTATTTATTTAGGATACTTAACGATTATTTGTTTATGTAATGGCATACGATTAGATGTTGTATACTTAATATATGGATGACTTTGGTTATTTTTGGAGATGACGAAAAAATTCCAATGCATAAATTTGATTTTATATCGCGACAATTTTTCATTTATTGGTAAATATATTGATTTATTTTATATAAATTAAGGATTTAATTAATATCAATTTCAGTTTGGCTAACATTTCACGGTTCAATTTATCCATTGATGTAGTAGGTTGGTGGTGGACGAGGTTGGTGATCCTATCGAAATAAAAGATATGGTAATAATGATTTAGGATTTAAATAATTAAAATTTTATCATTTCACATTAAAGATTTTATATAACGAAAAAAATATTATATTTACAATTTATTTATATTTAATAAATTCATTATAAATTATAGTAAAAAAATAAATATTAAACTTTTGTAATTTTGTCTGAAATTTAATTACAATAAATCAAATAATTATTTTAGATGAAAAAATCGTGAATCACACGAACTTCTATCTAGTATCTTTAATTTTAGACATTTTCAATTGTACTACATTCGTCTCGAATTAACCATGATAAGCTCCACCACTCACTGAGCCACTATATACAAGTTTTTTTTTTCCTCATTTTTTTTTTTCAGTATAACTCACTTCACAAAAAGTCAACAAATACTATAAAAAAACACCCTAAAGTTTATGTTGAGGTTAATATTGCTCTCCACCTTATATCCTTGTGGTTTAAGGATCAAATCCCACGAATCCATTTGAGGGATTAATTGGATTAATAACTGGAATACTAGAGAGTAAAAAACAATCATGTAGACATAATGTGAAAAAACCTTAATTATATAAAAGCAAAAATAAATCAAAAGCATCCTCAAAATTTACATATTACACAAGTTATCAAGAAACAAAACAGCGTTGTCTGCCTCCTTGTGGCGTACAAATATAGCAGTTGGTAAGTCCTACTATTAGTTTGGCTTAAAGAACTTCAACTTGAGTCCACTAGTAACAATGCTCCAAATTCCTCCAATCGAAAACGCGAGGCTGAAAGCAATTCCAATCCATCCTAGGATCCAGTTCAAATACCAACTGCAACTGTGTTTCGGGGGCTGCTTAAGGAGCACCCACATGAAGCAAGGATAAGCAAATGTGACAGGGAGAGTGAGCCCTCCCAACAAGCCAGCAAGGCTTGATAGGAAGGGGAATGCCACACCTATAAGGAGATTGACAAATCCGTAGAAAACTCTGAAACTGGACCTAACCCATACTGAGCATGGGCGATTAGTCCTGCTTGTATAGCTGGCTTCGAAGCTGTCAAAAACAGGCATGGAGTATATCTGGAAGCTGCTCAAGCAACTGAATACGACCAAAAGGAAAGTCATTGCTAGTAGTCCTCGAGCAATGTCATGACTATGGAATGCATATATAGCAGTGAGCATCCCCCCTGAAGGCATCTGTTAGAGGGAAATGCACTTAGTTCATATCTTTGACAGAAAATCATGAATGAAAGCAATAAGATCATATAATCAGTAGATCATCAGGATAAATTTTCAATCATAATATTATGTGAATCTGTCTAGATCTGACATAATTCTCAACTCCAGCTTTTGTTATTAAGTGGTCAAAAGACATGATATAATATATGAATATCAGAAGATCTATGAGAAAGTAAGTAGGTATTCTCATGAGATGAAGTATTCACATGAATATCAAATAGAAACAGGAAGCATAATTTTACCAAATAGCAGGGAAGGTCATGCATTATGGGTATAATCATGTAAGTGCCTTAAATTTATATCCTTAATCAGAAAAGCAGTGATGCCTTTCGATGCCGACTTAATTTCTCTGCAGCAAAGTGCAGGCTATAGCATGCTGACATGCTGACCCAGATTGTGGAAGATGAATTTCAAAACATTTGAGCAGCTAGTTCTAATCTAGAGTCCAGTTAATGCAAATTCAAAACTTCCAACATTCTAATTCTGCTTGAAAGACAATCTAGTTTATAGGTAAATTATGGTAGTGTTCAAGAATTTCCACAGATTATCTTAACCAAATTCACCCTATAAATTGATATTGAGCATTGACTCTCTTAAGTCTTGTATAACAAAGATGAAAAGTGCAACTTCTAATATTAAGATTCAATTTGTCGCGTGATCATATTCAAATTATCAAAGTCGGTATGAATTTTATTCACCATGAATCCCTGATCATAGTTAAAGTTTGCCTTCAGGTGATCTGAATAATATTTATGTACATATAGGTGCACCAAGTTATTAGATATGTAGAAACCAGACTTACAAGGTTCCCGTACGCCCAATATCCTCCAATTGCTATGGGAAAGAGGCACATGGCAATGAAAAAATACGCAACTTTAGCTCCCTTCCACATTGGTACATGAGCTGGATTCTTAAACGTTGATGGCATTGTAGCCTGAAACAGCCATGTCATGAGCTTAAATGTACAAAATCATCAAAATCAAGTTCACATGATAAGGGTCTTGAATTCATAGTATAAGGCAGTTATAGATTCTAACTACTGCACAAGATTTTCTTTGTTACTTTTGATTTCACATGCTTTATGTGATCATGCTATAGTCCGCTGCTGTCAATTTAGAAATCTTTTTTCCAAGTACAAGAGCTATGAAATTGGATACATTAGAGACAGAAAACAATTTATGACATCACTGATTTAAAGCTGAAGAATTTCATACCTGGATCTCCAAGACTAAATTGTGGCCCCTGAATGCAAAGGCTATTATTCCAAGAGCATTGAGAACTGAAAACAAGGAAGCTGTTGGAGATGGAAATGAGACTGGCTCATACGAGATTTGTGGTGGCCTACGTTGACTTACGGAAAGCACCCAAACCATGGTAGAATAGGTGATAGCAGTGACTGCCCCAACAAGCGAGAGTCCAGCTATTGAATTAAGATTTGGAAGCTGAGATAGAACGATGCACAATGAAGTGAAAACCAGGTACCATTCAACTGTAGTCAGAGGATTTGATGAGCAAAGTGGTCCACAAACTATTTCGAAAAAAAGTTTCATTGTCTCCCCTCCGACCAGTATCAGAGCAGTTGCAGTTCCAGCAGACAAATATACAGTTGGAAAGAGTGCAAGCCATACACCAAGCTTTTTCCCTACATTACAAAAAATGATTTGAGGTAATTAGCTGAGAAGCTATTGAAGTCTTACAGTCGTCAATGTGAAATGAAGAATGCTAGAAATTATATTGATTCCAGAATTCGTTTTCCATTTTCAATATGAGGTGACTGCACAAAACGTATGAAAACATACCAAATGCAGCTTCTGCCAGTTCAACGTATCTATTATATCTTTTCCCAGGCACGGCTTCATGTAGCTGAACTAGAATCCACAGCGTGTAGAGTTGCCAAAAGTAGGCTATGGTCAATGCAAATATACCCCAACCCCTGCAATACATTGAGATGAAGCATTGAGACAGATATCTTTCTTACTTTCAACTTTAAGAAACTACTTTAGTCACATCAAATTGTGAGGCAATGTAATACTTCTGTTACAATGTAATTAACTCAAAGGAAAAAAAGGTGCATGTAAGCAATAAAATTCAGAGGTCATTTTAGATAAAATTTATTTAAGTATGTTCATGTAATTGCAATAACATCAACCTTTTGGACTACAAGGTTTCTGCTGGCATTTACAAGTAGGCAACCAGATCATGCAAACCGGCTATTTCTGTGATAAATCCGAGTCCATGATTCGTAGGGTGTTATTGAGATACGGACAACATACTAATAATGTTACGTTTTCACTACCAATTTCAAATATAAACCTTCATTTGTAAAGTCAAGTCATAGAATAAGGTTATGTTTTCGGTTTTCACAGCTTACTTGTGTTATTTTAGCAAAAGAGAAGAGAGCCTAAATCATTATTCTATACAAATCATTGCATACAGCTTCAAATGAACTACGAGCTGAAATTCAACTCCTTGATAATTAACAGTCATTGCAACTGCACTATTCAAGGTGTACGAAGTTAATGATATCTTAAGAATCCATGCCAAATATGTAGTACTATTTTAAGGATTACTAAGGAAAAGTTAAAGTAAAAAGGTCTACAATTTGTACCAAAGTCAGACGAATTTGCAAAGGTGTTAAAAGCACATCATTGTTATCACTCAACAGAACAATATCATAATTTGGCATAAACAAAAACATAAACAGGGAAAAAAAAAAAAAAAAGAAAAAAAAAAGGGTATATATTTTGACCAGAAATTGAGAATGTGAACCTAAATGGTCCCCTCATTCAAATAACAATATTGGAACAAAATCATGACTGGTCCCGGTAATTGGCAACAGCAAGTCAAAAATCATGGGAGGTATGCAGAAAGCAAAAGATGGGTGTGATATAACTTAATCATTTTGTTAATCCAATGATCATCTTTTTTTTTTTTTTCCTACCATACAGAAAAATCTAAAGATTAATATCATCCAAAAAGCAAAAGGAACATCACCACTTCTCATTCACTTTAATTAGATTAAGCATGCTTAACTGCACTCCACGATTAGACCTTATTAGCAACAAAAACCGCTTTGCTTATGACTTGTAGACAAGATTAAATTCGATGAAAGAAATAATCACATGATAGTAATTTATATTTTAACTAAAGTGACAATTTTTTCGGAACATCTTAACATATTATATGGGAGTAACGGGACTAAGTCCAAAGGAAGAGAGTACATGTTTGTACAACCAAATAATCACATGATAGAAATTTGACCAACAAATAGTTAGACTCTTACTTTGTTAGAGAGGTAAGAATCAATACATGTGGTCCTTCAGAGTCTCAGACATACAAGTAACTTTTATGTTACCATTTGTACAAGTGTGCCTCTGTAAAAATTCTTGAAATAAATTGGAATCTACAATTATTTCAGGAAAATTAACTTTAAAATATCAGACATTACCAGTAATTTATTTCATGCACCAAATTTGGATTTATTAATACTCTATGTTACTAGTTCAAATTACACTATTTCGTCCACTATAATTGTCTAATTGAGGGAGTAAATGACAAAAAATGGAGCACCCAAAATAATAATCAAACACCCACAAAACTCCAAACTAAAAAAATAAAAAAATAAAAATAAAAAGAGGAGAAGAAATTACCATCCAAGAAAAGAGAAGGCAACAGGAAGAACAAGAGCTTGAAACCCAACACCAGCATTAAGGTTATGAAACGCAGCGTAATGAGCATTACCATTTCTGGACTCAGTAATAGGAAGCCAAGCATCTTGTGGGTTAAGCTTAGTTAAATGACCAACTTCTTCTAAATAACCTTTCATATTAACTAACACCCTTTTCATGGGTGTTCCAATAGGACTTAAAAACCTTGGTGAAATAAATGAAGTTGGTGTCCATGCTGCAGACTTTGACTCTTTCGCCGCCGCACCACCCGCAGTTGGTGGCCTCGGAGAGCGTTGTCCGGTGGGTGTTAGTATCTCTGGTGTTGATGTTGCCCGCGGTGTTGCCGGGATTGAAATAAGTTCAGTTTCTAGCCTTTCATCCATTAGTTTGGAGGTTTTGGTATGTTGGTATAGTATTTTGAAGTAGCAGAGTTTGAGCTTGGTTTTCTTTAAAGAGGGGGAGTGGTATAGTATAGGGGAGTGTGGGAGTGGAGAGAGAGTGTAGTGGGAAACAATGAAAAAGTGTGGTGTACGAGATAAAATTAAAGGGATTCGATGCAAGTGTAGGAGGAGCTGTGACTGAACAGCAGATACTTTGTTCGTTTTCTTTTTACTAGTATCTATTTTAATGTTGAATATTTCACGCTTACATGCATCACTATTTTTTTTTTGTTGAAATGTATTGTGTTTGGGTTTAATTTATTCTAATTGGGTCAATCTATAAATGATTCAATTACAAAGCCCATAAAAGGTTCAACTCTCCTAAAAGCATGCCAAGTCAGTTAAAGGCTCGATCAACATGATAAGCCTATTTGACTTCAAGGCCCAAGTTATCTATTTGAGCAGGGTATAAAGCCTTGACTTCCCTATCTTTATATTCATTCACTCAAAGCCTCAAACAATTAATTCTCTTGCATAGTTTTCCCTCTCTAGAAACACTGTATTGCCTTCGCCATCGGAGGGGCCTTCCTCGGCACAACCCCTGAGGCCAGTTTACGTGTGTTTGCTGTGCAGGAAACCCTCGTCCCAGTCATCACTTGGGCCGAGTGCAGTCTTCAGCCCACAAGAAAGGTCCAGACGAAGGACCCATTGTTTTCACCCAAAATAATTTGATGCCGTATGTGGGGAAGACATTAAAAAAACAAGCCAAAATTCCATCATCTTAGCAACATGACTAACAGTGGAAAAAGTGCTAAGAGCGCCAAAAAGAATGGCCCTTCTTCCTCGAAGAAAGGCCCAATTCCATCTTCACCCTCGAAGAAGGGTCCACCTTCTTCATCATCTTCCGTAGCTACCTCGTCAGGGAATGCTGCCTCGGACAGATTACCTCACAACACGGGTCAGTCGTCCAACCCTTGGCGGTCGAGCCGATCAAATGCTAGGAGTCCAACTCCTAGCCGCCATTCCCAATCTCGTCCAATGGGGACGCCCCAAAAGTGTCCCACTACGGAGGATATGGCGCCCTCATTACCTTCATGGACTTCATGAAGGCTGAAGCGAATCAACATCTCCCATCTCTTGCTCTCTCGGTGCGTGCTGACACCATAGAGCAGCCGAGGCACCTGAGAAGGAGAAAAGGGCAAGAGGAGGGAGAACGAGTTCCATCTTTTAAGGAGCTCGAATATTGGGACGAGGATACTTGGAGAACTTAACGGGAAAGAAAAAGAAACCCACTAGTCTTCGGTGATTCTGAGCCCCGAAGTATCAAAAGCAGTAACATTGTATCCACGCGGCAAGAGTCTGCCTGCTTAAAATTTCACAAACGTATTGGCCCGAGGGAGGGGAGCGTGCACAGTCACCTCACCTACGCAGAAGGGACTGCACCTTACCCTGCACCGTCCCAGCCGAGGACGAAAACCACTTCTACCTCTCATAGAGGGGGGAGCGAGGTCCCAACGGCTGGGAACAAGGAGAAAGTAGTAATGGTCCCCTCCAGTTCCCCATTCTAGAGCTCGATTCTAAAAGAGCATGTGCCGACGGTGAAAATCCTGACACATATCACATATGACGGTACTTCGGATCCGAAAGACCATATTGCCTCCTATGAGGGTCACATGTACCTGAACCCCGGGTCCGAACCGACTTGGTGAAAATACTTTCCAACCGCTTTGAAGGGGTGTTGCACAAGCGTGGATCACCAAAGGAGTGAAGGAGGGCTCGATAACCAGTTGGAAAGACCTCTCCAACAAGTTCAAGAGTAAGTTTTCTACGGCAAACCACCGAGAGAAAACAACTGCAGAGCTCATGAGCCTGCAGCAAGGGGAGGACGAAAGCCTCTGAGACTATTTGACACGCTTCAGCAACGAGTCGTCCAAAATTACAAGTTTGGACCAAGGGCTAGCCGTTTTCGTGTTGCGGAACAAGCTATAAGATGGAAAGTTCCTTGACTTCATGGTCATGCACACCCCGCAGACCTTAGAGGAAGCCCTCAACGCTTCGGATAAGTACATCCGAGCCGAGGAATGGAACAAAACCAAGTCCCAATCTGAAACTGGGACTGGAAAGGCAAAAGGACAGCAGTCCGAAGGCACGGGCCAGAGGAAAGGGAAGGCGAAAGCCTCAGAATCTTCCTTGGCAGCTGAGCCGAAGAAAGAAAAAACCCCATTCGTAGGGAAATACGAATCTTACACTCCTCTCGCTCTTCCGCGTGCTAAAATTTACAATATAACAAAGAACGAAGAGAAGTGGAAGAAACCGAGGCCACTTCCATCGTGGCATCAAAACAAAAATAAAGACTGATGGTGTGAGTTCTGATTAGGGGATTTTGCTCCCACCAATCGGAATGCGCCACGTGGGCCAATCAGGTCCTGCCAAGTGTCCCCCAGTTGGGATTGTTAGGGCTTGCCACGTGGCACACGCTTATTCGTCCACCTTGGACCTATTATGTCATGACACGTGGCATACTCCATGCCTAATGGAGAAACCGGCCACCCAGGCCCAACTTCCGAGGGAAGCCCAATCAGCCCTAGGTTAACCTAAACCTAGGATTGGCACGTTTCCCAAGGTTATAAATACCTCCCTTAATCCTCATTAAGAGAGAACATGCTAAAAACGCAGATTACACCCATTAAACACTCTCACCTAGAGAGACCCAATCACTTTAATTTCCGCATTAATTACTCCTTAATCAAGTACTAACTTGACCGTCGGAGGCGGAGCTCCCACCACAAGGAGTCTCCGTTGTTTTGCAGGTACAGGCGTCCGGTTCCAGTCTCGGAATTGTAACTCTCCCGCAGGACATCAGAAAACCCCGAAACATTTGGCGCCGTCTGTGGGGAGAGTACTTCTGAGATGGCATCCACGTTTGTACCGACTCCTGAAGAGAGACGTCCCCTGGACGACCCTCTAGTTCAGTCGGACCACAATACTGAGAATGAATTTGAAGTTGAAGCTCACACAGCTTCAGACGGGACCCTAAGGGCCCGACGTACCCGTCATACCGAAAGGAGGGAACGGGAACATCTTCATACAGGAAGCGAGCCAGCAGGCGCACCGCCTGTTCGGCAACAGCCGACTGATGGGTCTGCTCCCATCACAAGGAGTGAACTCATGACCTTCATGAGGGACTTCAAGGAAGAAATTCAAGAGTTGATCAACAAGAAGCCGCCTGCTCTGGACAAGGAGCAGTCGGCTAAGAAACCCTCCACTTCACAGAAGAGGAAGCCAGTTCAAGGGCAAGAGGCGACTCCTCATCCTAAATCTAAGAAGCGGGAGCCATCTGCCCTTGATTTCACAAAATACCGTTTTCCTACTCCAGGAAATAGGAAACCTGTTCGTCATATTCAGGCGGACGGGTCGAGGAAATCATACACAGACGCTCGGCTACTGCTAGAGCAGAAGAAGAGTGACCGATTGTCAGAGTCGGCCTCTACTTCAAACTTCCAAGACAGTCTTCGAAATACCTCGATGAGGCATACTCAGTCGTATCATGAGAGTCAGTCAGGCGGCACCTCCCGTCAGTCCGACTTTCATAGCGACCAGGCGGTACCAAACTTACCGTTTGTACCGCAACAATAGTATTTTTTACAGCCACCTCCGTTTGGTGGACATGCAGCAAAAAATGTCCAACCTATGGACTGGCAGCTACGGTTGCTTAGACTTGGTGAACAGCCGTCGGCCTTCTCCAAGGAAATTACTGAAGCCGCTCAGCCGGCCAAAGTGAAAAATGTATTAGTAGGCGCCTATGACGGCACTACTAACCCAGAAGACCATCTGATGGCATTCACCAACCTGATGTACCTTCAAGGGTTGGATGATCCCACTTGGTGCAAGTGTTTCCCAGCGACTCTCAAAGGAATCGCACAACAATGGTTCGGCAACCTGCCGACTGGTTGTGTAAATAACTTCAAGACGCTTTCTTACTTATTCACCTCCAACTTCGCCATGAACATCCCTGCGAAGAAGACGACCCTTGATTTAGGAACAATTTAGCAGGGCGAGAAGGAGGGGCTTCGTTCTTACATCGGGCGGTTTAACCTGATGAAAATACAGATTCAAGGGTTACCGGATGAAGTAGCCTATACTGACTTTTTCAGAGGTCTCAAAGACGGGTCGACCTTCAAATTTGATTTGGTCCGAAAGAGGGTGGCGACTCTTCAAGAGGCCTTGATTGAAGCGGAAGCCTATATACAGGCGACTGATCTTTGTAGTACGGTAAAACAGTCAGACGGGAGAAGGTCCGACAAAAGAGAAGGACGACAGAAACAGTCGTCAAACAAAGATGAGAAGAGAAAAGAGGTCTGGGCGGCTGATTCCTCTAAACAGCCGTCCTAGAAGAAGAAAAAAGAATTCAAACCATACTCCCCAAAGTATGTGTTTAACAAGGATAGCCAATTTATCCTAAAGGAAATCAAGGGACGGATCTCAATTGAGAAGCCGGTCCCCATGAAGGGTTCTGCAAACTATCGGAACCAAGAAAAATTCTGTGATTATCATGAAGATGTTGGTCATCACACCAATGACTGCATCAGTCTCATGCGGTATCTGGACCGCCTGGCTGAGCAAGGTGATCTTGACACTTATGTCAAGAAATCTACGGGGAACACTTCCTCAAAAAAGCAGTCGACCAAAAAGAATCAACAGGCCGACAGCTCCGATACAGATGATGCAGTCGTCTACACCATTGCAGGCGGCTTCTCAGGAGGCGGCCCCACTATTAGGGGCAATAAAGACAATATCAGACGGTTAGATGTAAATTCCGTTCACCAAGAACGACCCTCCAAATATTCATTTCCTGAGATTGTCATCACTGAAGAAGATCTAGGAGGGGTAAGAGGGCCGCATGACGACCCTATCGTTATTGAATGTAAAGTGGCCAACCAGAGAGTTGGCCGAATCCTCATAGATACCGGAAGCTCCTCAGATCTCATTAGTAGCAAATGTCTGTCGAAACTAAAATATCAGACTGATTGCATACATCCGGCATCCCACCCTTTAGTAGGGTTTGGAGGAGGAGTCGTCCACCCAGTGGGACGAGTGGATTTACCCATCCGCCTGGGCGAAAAAGGGGAAGGACGACACATGGTAGTCCGGTTCCTGGTAGTAGAAGAACTCTCGGCCTACAACATGATCCTGGGACGACCAACCCTGAATAATTCCAAGGCTGTTATAATCCCATCTCTTATGTTGCTCAAGTTTGAGAGGGATAATGGAACAGTCGGGTCCCTAAGGGGAGATTAGAGGAT